CCAGCACGAGAGAGGAAAAGAGGAGCGAGAGGATGTGCCCACAGTCATGCACTGAGTGCAATACTTTAATCCTTTGATCTTTGATGTATGCATTATTGTTCACAAAGGGAGTTCCCAGGAGCAGAGAAACTTAAGGCCATCACTGAACTCTGTGCAGTTCTACCTGTCATTATCATGCTGTGCACTGGCAGGGAGCCCACACCAAAAATGACAGCCTTCCACAGAGCCCTCCCAGGACACACTCCCAGGCTGTGGCCCCACTGCTGTCCCTGGTTAAACATTTCTCTACAACATCTTTTCAGAACAGAGACCTCAGCAGGGAGAGGGACACAAGTGCCAGGCTGAGCTGTTAGGGCAGAATCCAGAACAGACCAGCACCACAGTGCTGAGGGTTATGGGGAAAAGTCTTTAGGAGGTTTCTGCTCAGTATTGATACTCTAGCAGGATAAGTCTCCTTTCCCCAGAAGGGGATCTGCAACGATACTAAATGCAAGCATTATCTGAAAAACTTGGCAGCAGGAGGCCCTCCTTTCCAGGTATTTGCAGCTTTCCTGCAAGCTGGCATTATCTACTCCAGGTGTCAGCTCTGATTCACCCACAAGACTCTGTGTCACAAAAGATCACACCAATATGACTTCTTTTTTAGAGTATTTCAAAGCACAAACCCCAGCACTGCCAATATTGAAGAGTTCCTAGCACAGTGTGCTAAAAAGCTCTGTTTTGGAATATGGATTTAAATTTGGGATTCTTTCTAGAATAAGGAGTATTTTTTTGTGGTGTGGTGTTTTTTGTTTGGTTTTTTTGTTTGTTTGTTTTTTGTTTTTTGGGGTTTTTTTTTTTGTTTTACCAAATATACCCCTACCTACAAGCCTTCAACCCTCTCAGGTCACAAATGCTGAGAAGAAATGTGTTGGTGCCTAAGAAGCTGCTCCCCAAGACCTGCTCTGGCAATGCTGTACCCCAGGCAAGGAGGCTGGCTGAGGTCTGCTTCCACATATAGGGGCTGCAGCAATGGCAGGATGAGTGGATCTGTGAGCAAGGAACCTGTCCACCCCAGAGGATCAGACTTCTCCATTTGTGAGGCTGAGCTGACCAATAGGAATCTCATGGCCTGCTTTCTTGAAGGATGTGGAGAGATTCACTTTGCCTTGTCAGCTTCTGAGATGAAATGATGTATCACAACCATCAGCTGAGGCAACCAGTGAAATTTCTGTCCCATACCTGTTTGTCAAATCCTGCTCATCAGGGTCTTGGAAAATGGAGTGTGGAAGGAGCTGCCTGGTTGCCCACCAGTTGGTGGTGATTTTCTCTAGCACTCAGAGATGGGCACAGGCCAACAAATTGATACCTCCTGGAACATGGACAAATGAACTTGTATCCTCTCATCTGGGTTTAAGCACACAGAAAAAGCAGAAATCTCCACCGATGTGCAAATAGCAATAGCAAGTGAGATGATACAGGCAGCTGAAGCATCATCCTATTTCGACTGCTGTACCCTCTCAATTAGCAATTGAGTAGTCTTGGTTACAGAGTCATATTAAAAACTCTTCACCAGGAGGAATTCTTGGTTCACCAGCTAATACGCGACAGTGAAAATCTGCCAAATGCTTGGGAATTTGAAATGCACTAGGCACAACTTTGCAAAGGCAAAAGAAAGCTTCTTTCTCAGCCTGTCAAAAGATACCATCTTTAACTCTTCAAAAGAGTCAGCAGGGATGAAGTGCTTCCAACAGGCTATATTTCTTATGGTTTACTTGTTCCATTTCTGATCTTCCAGCCCTGATTCTCAAAGAAAATTCTACAACATCTTTGTGAGGTAAATCTGGGAACTGTATCACATTACTTTCCCGAATACTAATGTTTTTGTACACATTACCATCCTTCTCTCTGCACCTTTTCCAATTATCAATCTCCCAGTGCTTTACATCATGCTACTACTATTCTATGAATTACCTGCACCTCTTTTCCCCCTAGGATATAAGCACCAATATACTCTTTATATTCCACGGGTGCTGTCAGATGTCTAACTCAGACACAGGTTTAATTAAACCCAGAACAACTTTTCCCAAGATGAAGTTAGGTTTGAAATTCACCTCATCTTTTCTGAGGAGTGTACACGCCCCAAAACTCATCTGCTTTCTTCACATGTACTAGCTGGCTCCCGAAAAGTTATTACACCTACATAAAATTCTTTATCTTGAAACCTTTGGCTCTTACAATACTGACATGCCAAAAGGCTTCATAGACTGCAAATAGGAGGGGCAGCAAGGGAGCGACTGGATCTGGTTTCTAAAAAAATAGAGCACTATGACATACTTCACAGAAGATCTTAAATTCTGTTTCACGGGACAGAGTGGGGTTTTAGCACAAATTTAAAAGAGATGCTCACTTTTGAGTAGCAACAATGACGCATAGCTACAAATTCCTTGAAAGCTCAGACCCCCCTTCACTCTTTCAGCCCCTGCCTGGAAAAAACACCTCTGCACTCCTTCCGGAGGCTCCTCTCCATAAGGGCAACGTCATTCAAGCTGCCCTTTCACTGAGCCTCAGTTTCCCATCTGTAGAACAAGGAAGGAGGACAGGCTCAGGCTCAGGCCCTCCAGTCTGCCATCTCCCACACTGCTTATCAGACACTGCTTGTGTTTTCTCCTAACCATGGCCAGTCTCTCTCCACACAGCTACCTGCACTGCCCTCGCCCAGGATTTTGTACATTCACTGTCAACTTACTGCATGAGAGGGACAGTGTATCCTCCCAATAGCTCCCAGGGCAGCTGTGTAATAACTGTTGTACATTTCCACAGTGGGAGAAGACTTGAATCTCTTCTCCTTGAAGCCAGGCATCCTGAGACCTTCAGAGACGGCTTGGAGAAGGAGCATTGCTCATGGAAGGCAGCAAGCAGGGCAGAGGATGAGGGAATCCCCACAGTGTGGGCCAAGCCAATGCTGCAGCAATGCCCCCATGGGAAGTGCTGACAGTGTGGGACTGAGCAAAGCAGAAGAGCGAGTAGTTCTGGGACCAGCAGAAACTCAGCCTGCAGGATAACCTTTGGAAGGAGAATCACCACAATACATATTTATCCCATTTAGAGAAAAGAGTAGCTAAACTTTGACTGTGGCTAAGGTTTTAATAAAGCATGAGATCAGCTGAGGCATTTCTCATACCTGTAGTATTTTAAGCATTCTCCTCCCTCAGGTTGCTCCGTTAGCTCTTAAGGGCTGGGTTTACACTGCTCTTGCTCTCTCTCACTGCATCTCTAGCAGCATCTCTTTCCTCAACTGGACCTCTAATTTCTATAGATTTATGGCAGTATAGTACCTTTAGGCTTTGGGTGAAAGTGATGGATGGTTTCAAAAGTTAGGGAGAGAGCCACTGTCAAGCAGGCACCTACAGAGACAACGTGACCCCAAGGGCTTCCTTCCCATAGAAAAACAAGCTAATGCTATGTAGTCATGACATTCAAGGCTCTATTATAATACAGAATCATAGAAACACAGAAATATTGGGGTATGAGCAGCCTAAACTTTAGCCTTTTTAATGTTTGGCTACTTGACTTTGCAATTACAATGACTCTTTCAAGGAATCATTTTTATATTCAATGCAGTACTTTTTGCAGTGGCATATTAAATTTTATGGACTCTGTTTAAGTAGGGGAATATGTCTTGTCATTTTCTGCTGATTTTCACCTTTTTTGCATTTTTCCCTCAACACACTCTCACTCACTGAGAGTATAGTCGCAAACCTGTGCACAAATATGCAGAGGATCAGCAATGCAAAAGCCATCCACATCCTAGTCCCCATGCCACGGATAACGGGAGGCTGATGAGTCTGATCCTCGAGCCTTGCACAGACAGGCTCATTGAACTTGGCAGCACCACTTGTGTGCAGGGAGATGACTCACTCGAGCAGAGGCCGTGGGATCTGCCCCTACTTGTTGAGCCACTTTCTTCATAGCAAATATTGGCTGTTCAAACAACACTCTTGTTTCTATTTTGGGTCACAGTTTACAAGCACAGACTAACAACAGTGGAAAAATGGAAATCCGCTACCAGCCAGCACTCTCCCGGCACTCTCAAAAGCAGCTTTCAGAAACTACATTATTGGAGAGGATCAGAATGGACAATTGCTCTAAATAACTTAAAAAGATGTTATTATCTGCCAGAGACTTCACATCTCCTAAGGGGAAGGTGAATATCTGGCACTTTCTCTAGCAGGTTAGAGGAGTAATTACCAGTGCGGAGACATCGACTCTTATCTTTGATAAGTTGTCAAGGATTTCTGAGACTAGTGAAATATCACAATGTTTTCAAAATATCAGCAAATTTTCTAGTGAAGAGCTGTACGGTTATGGGTGCTTGACTGAAGCATTTCTTAATGGCTGTCAGAAGTAATTTGCACTGTTGCTCAGCAGAGGCAACGGATGGTTTAATATCCAGGCCTTTTGTTCTGCACAGGCATGTCAGCTAAGTACATATTGTACCCAAAGGAAATTTCTACCCATTCTTTGCACATTTGCTTCTCTTTGTGTGCAATCGCCTGCTACTCCAACAGGCCAGTTCAAAGTCCCCCATCAAAACCATAATTGTGGTTCAATCAACAGTGTTTTACAAGAGGGGAAATGACTTCACCACAAGTGCTCAAAATGGACGTCATGCCAAACTTACAATTCACCAAGGTGCACGGACACTTCACGTGACGTGCCTTGATTTTCAAAAGCTGAGTTTTATTGATCAGTCATCTCAATGATTTTGTGTTGTTCTCCTTTCTAATATAGCAGTGGGCTCCCTTCTGCAAAGGATTCTGTATGCCTTGAATGTGCACGATGAGCTGGCAGGCACAAGTTACTTCTGATGTCTTGGTTTTCTTCAGCAGAAGCATGGTTGATATGTCACTGAGATCAGAACAAAAGGTCAAGGAAAGCAAAACAAAGAAATTTAATCTTGAATCTGCTACTCATCTCTCCACATGGTGAGAAAATCCTTATGTATTTCTCTTTTTCAGTTTCAGCACTCTACATGTTGAAAAATGTTATACATCTATTAACACAGTATTAATACCTAAGACTAATAATGAGGGAAAAGCCTATCTCAGCCAAAACAAGGACTCAAAGCCAGTCAAAAGAGATTCCAGTGGAAGAGAAATCAGACTTCTTTATTCTTAGCATTGTTAGAAAGATACTTTCTCTTTCACCCAAGAAATTCTCCATGTGAACAAAGAAAGTTCAGGTATTTTAACAAAGAGGTTAACATTCAGCTTTGTTAGAAAAAGCTTCAGTGACTCATCCTCATATATGAAATGAAGAGTTGACCTGCTCATGTGGGGACTGCAGAAATGACAAGTGCATGTGAAACAGGGAGTGAGTTTCAGGAGGGAGGAGGACATATCCCGCAAGCTGCAAGTGCTGATTTGAGGGCTGCTGCTGCCAAATGCTCAGTCTCTGGGAGAAAGTGTTCTCAGTGGTAAGTCTGCACTTTTCAACAAAAAGCAGGCTATCAATAAATGGTCTCTGATAATAAATAATCCTAGAATTACTCTATTTCTTCCCCCGCAGCCCCATGTGCCATTTGCCAGAAGATAAAATGAAACAACATGAGGCCATCAGGACTATCTGTGGTCTCTGTCTCTCTCATGACCATTTGGCCCCTGTGTACTCATTGGATTTTCTTAATCTCACTGGTTTTATTTTTTGTTTTCCTTGGTTCCTTTTCTGTTTATTTTCCTCCCACTGACTGAAATGTCATTTCTGTTCCTTTTCTTTTCATGTTTACGCCATAACAATTAACTAGAAGGCAAAATTTCAGACCTTATTTAACCTCATCCATCAATAGAAATCCAGTAAAATATGATCCAATTGCAGGTCTGTAACACTTGCTACTCATTCCAGCTTATTTATTTCAATTTGGTGGAAAAGCTGTTCTTTGTGTCAAAGAGAACGTATTTTCCTCTGGTCTCTAATAGCATTGTTAGCTTATGCTGAAAGGAGACAAACCACTTTTGCATAATCATATTTATTAGATCATTAGCACTGTTTTAGAGAAGTGCCAACAAGCAGCACCTAGGAAAAAAGCGAGTTATCAGCAAAGGCCATTAGGTGGAAAAACGTTGGAGGGAACCCGCAGGCAGCACACAGCAGTAATGAAGCAGACACCTCTGATATCCCCAGTTAATTATCTCAGTGAGAGTTTGTTGTGAGGTGCTGTTGTGGCTGAGCTACAGCTAGGTGCAAGGGTGGGACACGAGGTTAGATGCACAGCATGTGGTTCATTTCCTTTAATGACAGCAGTGACACATGTGGCATTGAAGAGTCCCAGAGTGATCACCTCTGAAGCAGTGACATCCACAAACTAGATGCCTTTGTTGCATATATATGTACACACAATCTCAAAATTATATACACCTGTCTATGCTTTCAGGCTGGCAAACTTTCCAATAGAAGTGCCCTGTTTTTCTTTAGGAACATTGTAGATTTGTTCTTCTGGTCAATAATGTTGTTTTTGCTCAGTTTAGTCACACAGCCTTCTCCTAGTCTCATTGGAAGCTCCCTCTGCAAAACAGTAGTTCATTAGGAGATAATTTATGCATCAATAACATACCTTGGTGACTGTGCATTGCCTATACCTACAAAATAAGGGGACTATCAGTGGCATAGAATCAAGTTTGTTAAATTATAACATAAGGGAAATAAATCCATTGAAACATTTTCTTTCAGTAGCTGCAGAAAATATGCCTTGCTCTTCACCAGCTCATTAGTGGAAAGTCCAGGAGATGAGCGACTATAGATGCTGCTGACCTTTTGTGCTGAGGTAGTACATTACTCGAGAAGAAGATCAGAAAAAATATCAAGGAGTGCAGAAGAACTGGTTAAACTCAGTTCTATATAACATTTTCTATACACCTACAATGAAAAGGCACTTTAGAAAGTAACAAGTTGCTGAAGCCTCACATTACCTTTGTACTATTACTAGGTTGAAAATGTTGCATGCTTAAAGCTCCTTCTTGAGAGACAATGGTGAAAAAGGCTAGATAATATTTTTTTATGCATGAGAGGCACAAAAAGTACCTTGAGTTAAAAAGATAATGCCGATTTTATAGTCATTAAAAAAAATATTTTAAATTAGGTTTAAACCAAGTATCTGAAATTCTCTGACAAGTGTTTTCTTCCTTTGAAAAAAATAATTTGCAGTTGCATCTTTCAATTTTCTCTCTTCCCCCACTCCCACTCCTTCCTTGATATGGTGAAAATCCTAATAAGCAGGAATACAAGCTGCCTACAGCCACATTTACTGCACACTGTCAATATGATGGAAGACATGGTATGGGTTGGAACTGCAAGCAGAGGCGCAGTGCCATTACTGTGAAAACTAAGTATTCTCCAATATATAGCATAGGTAAAAATGTGTGGCTGTAAATATATAGAAAGAATTAAAAATTATAAATGAATGAATGAAGGCTGCCCGCTGTTCAGAACTGCCTTTTTGTGTTGTGTTTTGCAGCAGAAATGCCATGTTGAAGATTTCATACTGCCTAGGATTTTACTGAAATAGGAGCTCAGCCCTGTGGTTGATGTTTTCCAACTCTCTGCCACAGAATAGCTTGGAGTAAACAAGTCTGTTATTAACATGTTGCTCAAAAGCAGTTTGAAAACACAAAAGTTCCAACATATATTTTTGTCTTAAAAAGACACACTGGGAATACTTTGCTGCCTCAGGAAATAGATATGCAGCTTGATGGGCCATACCCTGTTTTGGAGTAAGTTACACAGAATTTATTTTCTCTTATTTGAAAATAAATAATAATGATCTGCCCAGATGTTCTTTTTGTCTTTGCAGATTATTTCTTCTCTTTTTTTCCAGCTTACACAGACCAACTGCACCACAAACGAGAGAATGATGCATTACAGTTGAAGATGGCAAAAGTTTACTAAAGCAGTTCAAACAATAATGGTAGTTTTGAGATTTAAGTTTGAGTTTTTCTGGCATCCTCATAAGTCTATGAGGTCTTCGCTGACTGAAAATTCAGGTATTCAGAATACAGGCAGCACTCACCTCCTCCAGCACATGGAATCCTCTCTGATGTTGTCCATCACTGATACCTTGTGGGAACACCAGCTCCCAGGAGCACATCTTCACTAGTTCTTGCTGGGCTTTGAGGAAGGCACATGGGTTCCTAAATGCAAAACTCCCATCAGCTTCAACAGGGCAGCATCAGGCTTTTTGCATCTTCCGCTGAGCTGATTTTCACCAACTACTACCAGGCTGCATCAATTAGCCTGTTCCTAAAACATTTGAACAGAAATTCTGTGTGGCTGCTGATGATGCTCTCAACTCTTCATCTCACCTAATAGGACAAGGGGAAAATAAAAATGAAAGGCTGTGTAAGTCTCAATTTGGCCATCTCTCTTCTCAGACACATCTATTTCCATGCAAGCAAGAAGAAAATGGGTGACTAACACACAGCTCTGCAGCTCAACAGCTGGCGCCTGGGTCCTCCTCCATGGCACTAAATGTGTCCCTGGCAAACACAAGGTTGAGATTTTAAATGAGGAATTAATGAAAATGCGCACTTTTCCCTGCTTGTTGTCCCTTTAAATTCAGTTTCCATGGAAACAGCTATGGAAAGGCTGCCTGGAGGAAGCCAGGAAAGATCTCTGCCTGGTCGCCTTCCCCTCTGGGTTGCCAGCTGAGCCACTCCAATTGTCAGGCTTTTACAGAGGTTTTTGCTATTGTCATTTACACATGGAATACGAGTGATGACTCCTCATGGATTCCCTCCCTAAGGAGTCCTGAGGTGGTCAGCCATGCTCCTGTCACTTGCTGCTGGGCTCTCTGCAAGTGGAGCTCCTCTCCTTCCATCTGGTGGAGCACAGGCCCATCTGAGCCCCTGTGATGCTGCTTTGCTGCAAATGTCACCCCTGTTAGAGACATCCATTCCACTGCTTTTTTCTTTTGAAACGTGGTGGTGCATGTGATCTGAGTACACAGACTGATCTGGGAGCAGTGGTAGAGGGACAATTTTGTTGTTAATTCAGTGTTTATCCCAGGGGAACATTTGAGATCCCTCCTGGAGTACTGCATCTAGCCCTGGTGTTCCCAGCACAAGGCAGACACTGACCTGTCAGATAAGATCTGGAGGAAAGGAACTAAAATGGTTAGAGGGCTGGAGCACTTCTCTTATGAAGACAGGCTGAGAGATTTGGGCATATTCAGCCTGGAAAAGCAGAAGTCCCAAGGAGATATTTTTGCAGCCTTTCAGTACATTAAAGGGGCTCACAAGAAAGAGAGAGAGACACTTTTTATTCAGGGCCTGTAATGAAAGGACAAGGTGCAATGGTTTCAAAGAGGGTGGGTTTAGATTGGACATCATTAAGGAATGTTTCCAAATGAGGGTAGTGAAACATTGGAACCAATCATCCAGAGAAATTGTGGATGCCTTATGCCTAGAAGTGTTCAAAGCCAGGTTGGATGGAACCTGATTGGACCTGAGCAACCCGGTCTAGTGGCAAGTGTCCCTTCCCAGGGCAGGGGGTTTGGAATTAGATGGTCTTTAAGGTCCCTTTCAACCCAAACTGTTCTGTGATCCTATGAGCAGGATCCAAAGCAGACTGTAAAGCAATGGTGTTTTTCTGTGTAGATCCACTCTTTTTCCAGGTGAACAAAACCAAAGGGTCTTAGACCTACAATATTTGGGGGTGACACAGTCCCAGGAAATGGGGCTGGTCTTACTACTGTTGAGATGCACCCACTTCCATTTTTATTAGCATTTGAGGAGCCTTTAGTAGGTCTATGTAAGGTTGTCTTAAAGAAAACTGCATTTTCAGTGGAAGTTGACTAACAGTATAAGATCTATCCACCCTTCAAGATGAGTTCTGCAGAAAAACGCAGTTCAAATGTAAAAACAAAAGCAATTTTAAAATGCAATTAATTTTAAATGTGACTTACCCTAGTCAATATACTAGCTCAGTGTTAGCCATTATTGCTTCAGATACATATAAAAATGTTGTCCTCCTTGGTTACCTAGATGATTGCCTATAATTAGAAAGGCAGACTCTCATATCTGAGATATAATACTGAGATCATTTTTTTATGAGCCAGATGAGCAATTTCCTGCATATTGTACCAGAAAATACCCTCTGCTTGCTGCTGGTACAGACTCAGATGGAGTACAACCTTCATCGTTGAGCAATCAGACTTCAAAGAGGATGTAAACTTGTACTGGGGGCAATTCAGAGAGCAATGGACATAGCCAGAGGTCTAGAGAATAGACCTATGAGACAGAATTGAACAAACTGAAGTTATTTAGTATAAGAGGAGGCAAATCAAAGGGCTACATCTCAGTAAAAGGATAAAGTAAAAAGAGAAGAAGATAACAAAATGCTTTCCATGCCATAGACTCATAGAGCAGTTTGGATTGGAAAGGACCTTAAAAATCATCTAGTTCAAACCCCCTGCAGTGGAGAGGGACACCTTCCATTAGATCAGGCTGCTCAGAGCCCTGGCAAACCTGGCCTTGAACACTGCCAGGGATGGGGCATCCACAACTTCTCTGGGCAACCCGTGCCAGTGTCTCCAGCATGTCCATGTCTTTCTTGTGCCCATAGTGGATAGAAGGGAGATAACAAAGTTAACCTGCAAAGGGGGAAAACTTCCCCAAAGACAGTGACAGCTGTAAAATAAGGACTTGGGTTTTTCTTAGCCAAATACACCCATCTCAACCTAGGATGGGCAGGCACTTTCTCTCTCCTGACAAGGACAGTGTCTCAGATGCCCTCCTATCTTTGGACAGCCTATTCCAACACTTCCTCATGAGTTCTCTTTCTTGAAAGCTAAACTTAAATCTTTACTTTTTATTCCCAGGAAGTGATTCACCAGCTGTGTTTTTCTAACTTTCGTGGCCTTTGAGCACACCATGATGCTCTGATCCCTTTCACAGAAGCTGCTCCTCTAGCCACCATTTCCCTCCTAAACAGAAGGGCACTGTCATGGTAGTGCCTCCTCTCTCCAGGCTTCTCCTCCAGTCCTTCTAGATCATTTACATGGTGCTGTCTTTCTTCAGCATGTTGGGATAACTCTTCTGGTACCAGGAGGGAATAACTTCCTGCTCTGTGCTGGTGCTGCCTCACCTTGAACCTGTGTGCGGTTTTGGGTGCTGCAGTGTAAGAAAGACATTAAGCTGTTGGAGAGCATCCGAAGGAGGGCAATGAGGATGGTGAAGGGCCTTGAGGGGAAGCTGTATGAGGAGCAGCTGAGGTTCCTTGGTCTCTTTAGATTGGAGGAGACTGAGGGGAGCCCTCATTGCAGTTACAGCTTCCTAGTGAGGGGAAGAGGAGGGGCAGGCACTGATCTCTGCTCTGTGCTGACAGTGACAGGGCCCAAGGGAACGGCCTGAAGCTGTGTCAGGGGAGGTTCAGGTTGGGTATCAGGAACAGGTTCTTCGCCCAGAGGGTGGTTGGGCACTGGAACAGGCTCCCCACGGGAGTGGGCACAGCACCAAGCCTGACAGAGCTCAAGGAGCATTTGGACAATGCTCTCAGGCACATGGTGTGACATCTGGGTACGTCCTGTGCAGGGCTGGGAGTTGGATGCGATGATCCTTACAGGTGCCTTCGAACCTAGGCTATCCGGTGACACAGGAACTTTCTGCGGGGGATTCCCGCCCCTTCCCGGGGGATTCCCGCCCCTTCCCACGGCCCCGCCAGGGCGGGGACCCGAACCCGCGGCCCCGACGCAGCGAGGGCCCGCCCCGCCGTGCAGTGCGGGCGGAGGAGGTTTGTCCCTCACGGGCCGCCGTGTGCCGGGTGCGCTCCGCTGCCGCGCTCATCTCGTCCGGCGCCCGGCCCGGCCCGGCCGCTGCCCCGCCATGAGCGACAAGGGCGAGCTGGACCTCACCGGCGCCAAGCAGAACACGGGCATGTGGCTGGTGAAGGTGAGGAGCCGCGGCCCCGGGCCCGGCCCAGCGCGGCCTGTGGCAGCCGGGTCCCTCCGTTCGTCCCGCCGCGCCGTGCGCGGGTTGGCGCCGTGGGGCCGCGGCTGCCCGCGCCAGGCTCGGCCTGTGGCCCGGGATAGCCGCTGTGCCTGCTCCCCTTCCCGGGGACAGCGCGGGCTTGGGCCCCGTGCCCGATGAGTAAAGGAGACACCGTAGGGAAAGCTGGGCTGCCGGGAGCTATCACAGAATCAGAATGTTGAAGGATTGGAAAGAGCCTTACAGATCATTCAGTCCCAAACATCCGAAGCCCCTTGCGGTGGGCAGGGACATCCAGGACTAGACCAGGTTGCCGAAGGCTTTATCCGGCCTGGCTTTGAATATTTCTAGGGATGGGGCATCCACGGCTTCTCTGGGCAACCTGTGCAATGTCTCACCACCCTCACAGTAAAACATCTTTTCCTTGTCATTGCTAGTGGTTTGCGATGAGCAACAAACGTGGCCATGTAACTTTTATTTTTCCAAAACTTTGAGAGTTGGAAAATGTTTTGAGTGTGCCAGATTCACGTCCTCATTAACACTGTCCACATCCAGCAAGGAAAGAGGATGCCAGTAGCTTGTCATTACAGCTGCCTTTGGTGCTAGTGAAATACAGCTGTAGTGGAGGGGCTGTGAAAAGGTAGCGAGGGTGTCAAATCAAACCTGTTTGGTGCAGGGCCACAGTCCAGCCTGGTGCCACCACTAACAGGCTGGCATTGCTCTGCTCCCTGGAGTCAGTGTTTTTGCTGTCAAGACATTCTGCTGCCAATACCAAGCATTGTTTCAAGAAGGGGAGCTTGAAGCTGATGGGGGAGCATGTGCCCTGCCTGCTTTGAGTCCCCTCTGGGCATGCTCCTCTTTTTCTTGACCTATATTTATTCCCTCTTGGGAGAAACAGTTCCTTCCTCCCCTTCCTCCTTTAGGAATAGTTTCAGACCATCAACTTGAAAGAACCTGTGGGGACAGGGTGGTACCCAAATACTAGTCCTGGGTGGTGAGGGGGGTTTAACACCATCACACTTTAGCTACCAAAACTGCTTGCTGTGGCCCTTAAAAATGTCTGGGGATTTCAGACTTGCTTTGCTGTGCAGAATTTTTGGTGGGCAGGTTGCTGCATCTGGCTTCCTCTTCTGACGCCTGAGTGTGTGATGTCACAAAGCCACAATAAGCACTGTGCAAGTGCTCGAACTGTAGTGGCTTTTCCTGGGCACTGTCAATGAATGCTGGCAGCAGAAACCTGCAGAACTAGATCATGACATGCTGAGTGACAGGAAGATAAAATGGCAGATGAAATTAAGAAATTAAGTACTGAAAGATCTAATCTGGTGTGCTTAGAGAAAAACTATCCAAATTATTTTTATGGACCAGCTGGGTTTCTGCTGGTTGTTGTCATTCAGGAAGAGTATTTTTTTCTGTACATGGAGATAACTCTATAAGAATATGTCAAATGAGCAGAGCCAACATTGGACATGATTACAAAAAGCACAGAAAACAAAAGAGAAAATATTATTGTACCATCATGTTGCCTCTATCCAGAATGCTCTGTGTAGCCATGGTCTCATCCCCCCTACTGTAGAAACTGTGCAGACCCAGGAACAGTACAAAGGAGATCACCAGATCTGGTCTTGGCAACAAAGAATGATGGCTGTGGAGGGAACTCCTAAATGCCAACCTTTTAGGCTGGCAAGAGGATTGATTTGGAAATCTTGCAGAGATCTGAAGGAATGAGTAATGTCATGGGTGGATAAGGAAGAAGTGAATAGGCAAAGGTGAACAGGAAAGAATCAGTTCAGACACAAGAATTAGAGGTGTGTCAGATTAATTCATTGCTGGAGCTCAGCAAGAGCAAAGGAGGTATTGTTTTGCACAATGTGTAGTTAAAATTTGGAACTTCTTGCAATTAGAAGTTCTGAATTTCAAAACTTTGCAGAAGCTCAAATACAGTCAAATTCTGGCAAGAAAATTGACTTGAGAGATTAAAAAGTAATATGCTGACAAACCCCATGTCTGCTAAAACAACCTAGAAATTAGAAAGCATGCTGGGGAAATCAATTTTCTTCGTATGTTCCTCCTGAAGTAACTGCCATTAGCTGCATTTGGGGACGGGACACTGAACTAGCTTATGCTTTAGTCTGATACAGTTTGATGTTTCCTGAAGCAAGGACTTTTCAGGCAAATTTGTTCTTACAGCTGGTGCCACTCTGTTTAATGAGAAAACAGGACTGAAAGGAAAGCTGGACTATTACTCTTTCAAGTAAATGTTGATGTGGTCCTTCAT